CTTCGCCACACACTACTTTTGCGTTCTTCATAGCTTGAGGAAAGATTCTTTCACGAGTTCGCTGTCTATTTCTGCCTCTTGTGAGTTTTTTCTTGTCCGCAAAGAAGGTGCTTGCAGACAGCCAGGGGGTAACATGGAAAGGAAATATGAACAAGATAGAATTCGCTCTTAAAATGAAGCAAAATAGAGCTCAAACCTCTCAAATCGTCATTGATCAACTCGTTCGCGGAGCTCGCATCAGCTCGATAAGTGGGAGTCGGTGAGTGACATGTGTCCGCTCTTCAAAGGTGTGAGGGAATAAACGCTTGTCGTTTTTGTTTGAAAGGTATTCGCCTGGAGGGATATGGCTGTACAAATCGAGTGGCATAACAGACGTTACTACCTCTGCAGTGGTAGGGAATGTCGCTTCCAGGAGCGTAACCAGTGTGCTCGGGGATGGCCTCCGATGAGAGCATGAGGGTGGTGCGGCGGCGTGGGCTCGGGTAAACGCAGGTAAAATGCTGCTGCGATCTCGTGAGCATTACGGAGTCGTCGAGAGCGACTGACTGGAGCCGACGGAAGCGTAGCAGGGGCTAGAAAGACGGCATTGTGCGGCGGCTGCTTGTTGGCGAGCGACGACGTTCGCGTAGGAAAGTTTCTCGTAACCTCCTGCTTTCGATTTAGTCGAAAAATTAACAGAATCGACCGAAGAGCTGAAGTTTGAGCAGGCTCCGATGTAGGAGCAATAGCCCGGCACGCTCACCAGAGAGACAACGGCCCCAGAAGCGTCTTCTAAGGGTGAGCCGGGAGCCATTTTTTGACTTGGTTCATAGGCTCTTTTGGGTGGAGACTGAGGAGCTGTACTGCTAGTTATAAAGGGTAAGGGTACTCAAATGAAATGACCCGATAGCGGCCCAACCAGGAGAAGCAAACTTTCGAGGGAAGCCGCAACTTTCGGTCGAAACCTGTAAGGTACACTCGGTCCCCGACCGTGGTTTGAAGAAGAGGTCGATTTATCGTACTGCCACTTCAACACTAAGCTTCGCATGGCGTTAAAGGCGGCTGCGGAACTCCAAGCTGAATGAAGAGTCGAAACCAAAGACTCCTTGTAGAAATCGGCATCAGCGTCAGAAGGTATGTGCTGGAATGCCCGGCGTTTGAAGAAAAGGTCGATATTAAATACTGGGTTGCATCCGAATATCATGAAAATGGAGGCTTATTGGTACTCGAATGGATGCTGGTGTTATAAGAAAAGATGCAAGCTGGTAAGAAGGTTATCAATCTAGCTGATTATCGCTTATAAATGTTCGCAACATCGCCTGAAAAGGGATAAAAATTCTCCCGCAGAAGATGAGGAAAATATTCGATAGTCAATAGTCGAAATAAAACTCCAACATGCCACGCGGGTAGCGAATATTCAACCTCAAACTTGGATAATTAAACTTTATCTATTATTAACCACTAACTAACTAACTAACGCTGTTAATTACAATACCTAATAATATTCAACACACGATAACTCACAAAGTCACAGATATATTAAAAATGCGAATAAAGCTGAAAATGAATGAACTCAACTACCTGTCGCCCAACCAGAATATCATAGTGTATACCACAAATAAATAACGACTATGGTGCCTATAGTGCGAGATATAAGGTCACTTATAGTGCATTTTCCTAAAAAGGTCACATTAATCACGACAATATGGATGGGATAGCAATTCTAGAAGAGAGCGAGAGAAGAAAGGAGAAAAACTCTTTTCCATTCACCGCATCTCATTTATAAACACACAGCGTTGGTATGAACATCATCGCACATGGGAACAATCTGATAAATATGTCAACATCCGCCGCTCGATTGCGATACAGAGCTAATAAGTTAGAGACATGCTAAGCCATATGAACAGTATGGTTCAGTCGATTATGGGAACCTTCCGGATTAATCAGGTAAGACATCGAAGAACCCTCTAAGAACAAGGTCAATCTCATAGTGCAATGAAATTTAAGTTATTGTGCAAAATAAGTTATTGTGTAAGAAGAATACTGAACGATTCAGTGTAGAGGAGGCGTGGGACTCCCCAGACTCCTGACGGCAGGAGAAGAGTTCCCGACGAGCGACGTACTTTTGCTGCGGCCTTTCGAAAAAGGCTCTAACCCTCTGAGAACGAAGATGGCTAGCTACTGAATCAAAATCCTACCTGCGCTCTCAGCGAGCTCTTCTACTTTCTCGCGAGCCACTCCGTCTGAGTGCCCTATCAAGAAGTTAGCTTTCTGCTCAGTGGTAAGGGGGGAAGGACGCATACGAATAGCTCTCTCTAGTCGCGAAGCCATTCTGAAAACTGCGTGCCCTCTTTAGTCGGACCCTGAAAATGGAGTACTCTTGGAAGTCTGTAGATCTAAGCCGAGCATGGCGACTGTCGGGAGGGCATCGGGACGGCTGCCGGCTGCTGTGAACGATTTATTGAGTTTCCGGAATGAGGAGGTGTTTCTTCATTTATCTTCTGCGCTAGAGCAGACGTCTGAGATGTGATCTCCTTCCATACACTGGTAGTCGCATCTCGGAGGCGCTTCGCGTGCCGCGTGCAACACGACGGAATCGTCGAGTGTTGAAAGGGACTCATCCAACGTAGCTGTGAGCGCAGCCGATCTCAAAGGATGAGACGCGGATACCGGCGCACCGGTTAAGACTTCCGGAGATGCCACAAGCTCTCGATCGGGGGCAACAACTCCGGCTCCCGCCAATGCCTATGGAGACGAAGATGACGATCTGGGGTCCGACGAAGAGATAGGAACCGCCAGATTGGCTGCAAACGGAAAGCGACATAGAGAAGAAAGGAAAACTACTGCGACGTGTGCACAGTAACGACATTGACGGCTAGTCTCGCACAATGGCCCCTATATAGGGAAGGGAGGGGGTGGGAAATGTCAAAGGGGGCTCGGTCAGAGGGCATGAATCACGCGGTGTTTGGGAAATCGCTAGCTTCCTATGTTCAGATCTTAACTAAAACATCGTTAGGTTCCTACGATCAGATCTTAACCTGCGAGGCCTGTGAAGCAGAGAAGGGAACGCTAGCTAGGCATCGTCAAGGTTAACTATTCTCGACCATGAGCGACGTGCGATCGCTTCACCAATATAGAAGGTGCGCGAATCCTGCATTCGCGTTAGACTGATCAGACACATTCTCGTGTACAGGCTCAACGGAGCCGAAAGAACAAATAAACCGGCCTGCTTTCCTCGGAGTCAGACTCGCTGCTACCAGTAATAGATGCGGTCATACCGCTCAGCAGACTGTACGTGACTAAGACGAGAATAAAAATTAGTTTATTGATGCGCTGGTGTGCGAGTATCAGTCCAGTCGGTGTCCGAGCCTGGAAGGTGTTGAGCCAAGAGGCGACAATCGATGAAGGCGTTCTGCGTGCGTATTACGTGCATATTAATAATAGTGTGTAACAATTAATCTTTGCGCAAAACTATTATAAAGCAAAAAGATTACTGAAAGCTGTACAATGAGCAAGAGAAACCAACCTTCTTCCTCGTTCGGCCGTGCTCATACGTACGAATCATCAAACCTCGCACGACTGCAATGTGGCATTTTGTTTTGCGAGAAAGTGAAGATAAGAAGATGTTTTCAGTCACGCGAGGCTCAATTCGCCGAGTTTGCGGCATGAACCGCTTACAGAAGCAGTATATGTATGTGTCATTCTTACGAAGATCGAAGATTTTCCTTGCAAAAATCGTCGGCAACGTGCATCTCTAATCGTCGGATTGCTACGCATTTGGAGTTTCTTATTGTTACCTAATCTCTTCAAAATTTGTAGAAATCGCTTTGCACATGTGGCTATTGTAAATCCTGCTCCAGAAAGAAAATCCCAAGATATTCCGTAGTGGCTATGGTACATACTTCGTCGTCTACTCTTGGTTCCGCTATTCGTGTGGTTTCGTCCACTCTCACAAGTGTGTTCATTTGGGAGCTTGATGAAAATGTATAATAAGAAAACGAGAAAAAACAAAAAGGAACTAATGCTAGCCTGGCCATTGAACTCAAGAACAGCATCTTTGTTTCTAACAGCCTGAATAAATATGGCATTTGTATCTCGAAGAACCACAACCACGAACTTGAGGTACAACAATTCAGTAAATATGCTTCAAAGCTCGAATGTTAGGGATGCTGACCCGCGCCGTTATCTCTCGCCTCATCGGAGCGTGAGCCAGCGTCTTCACTATATGAACTGTCGGCCGGCTCATAATAATGACCCTACTTTCACTACAACTTTTCTCTCTGTTACTCCTTGTTGCTTCAGCTTGTGACTCCTGATTGTTCAAGTGCTGTACACTATTTACAGTGTTCCGTATACTAGGTATTTTGACTGTTGATAATTGGTTTATTTGGCTGAGAGTTAGATTAGACTTTGTATCCTGTTTATTATTGGTTTGATAACCAAAGTTTGGGGCTCTGGTTCTTTCGGATAGATGCGATTGGTTCTTTCGCGTGGTATGCTCAAATTCAATCAAGTGTATGCTGTCCGAGTAGCACGACTCGAACCCCATATTTCTTCTTCTCCTGTTGCACCGGGAAGTATAGAATACTCACCGTCTTAATATCACCAAAAACTTACAAGTTGTTCGCTGTACTAGATGGACTGAAGAAATAACAATGAAACTAATAAATGAAGACCTCCATAACCCTGTAGGGAAGAGGCGACATGTCATCGGAGTCACTCCGAACGTCTCAAAAGAACTACCTTCTATACGTTTCACGACAACAACACTCACCTTACCACGAATTTCACCACTTTACTACGTTTTCATGAAGACCAGCGAGGAAACGGTCCCTAGTATGGTCAAGCACCCCCAAACCTTGTTCGTAGCTCTCGGAAGGAGCGGCGTCAGGAGATAGCTCGGTAGTAGACGACTGTCAGTGTTCACCCGCAGAAGGCAAATTTAACTGCATTTGTTCACGCGTGCACGGGCTGCGGTCGGTCGTGTTTCTTCAGTGTGTTGAGTATCGCATTTTGTTACATTTCTTCTTTTCTCTCAGTCTACTTCTGTAGCTTCGCAATCGCATGCTGCTACAGAGGCACGAGGTAGAATGAATTATAGCCACATGTCTGTAGATATACTTATATCCAGCAGCACAAGTGAAATCAATAAAGATCCGATAATCTCAGAAATGCGCAGTGCTTTATGAAAATTCAAAAGGACTTCGCTGCTTTATTAGCGAAGGAGAAAAAATGGCGCAGCATTGTTTTTGCTGGGATCAAGGAGAGTGAGGAAGATCTCCCTCCTTCCAAACGTCAAACGCAACTAGAGCAAAATGTTTCAGAGCTACTAGATGCTCTTGACGTCGAGTATACTCCGTACGAAATCTTCCGTATGGATAAGTTTAGCGCAAAAGACCACGTTTAGTAAAGGTTGTGTCACCAATAGTGAGCCATTGGCGCAGGGCATTGGGAAACGCTCGCAATCTCCGTCTAGCTGGCTTCCGTATTTTTGTCCGGAGAAGCATGACCATCGAAGAGAGAAAACAGGATAACGAACTGAGGCAGTCTGCCAACGAGCGGATTAGGGGAAAAGGTAGAAAGGAGTGGGTATTTTCCAGAGGTCAACTCAAACATGTGTCTGAACAACCCAGCAGGAATCAGGAGAATGCTCAAACTCGCGAGGTCAGGCATGCCCTCTTTCCTGTTTTCTGCATAATTCTCGGACTCTAACTAATAAACTGTATCACTTGTAACTGTTCCTCATTAAAAAGAAACCAGACCTGGTCTTCGTGACCGAGACATGGCTCAAAGCTGCTGTCAGTGATTCCGAATTTTTGGGTCATCATCTACCATATAATGTTTACCGATGGGATAGAGCCGGACGGTGGGTCTGCTGTATATTCAGAAGCGCTCTTTTGCTTGAAGTTGTTCCTCATGATCACTTCATCAATTCCGATACACTTTGCATTGGTCTGATTTATCTCTCATTGACATTCTGCATCAGGTTCGTTGTTGTGTTTACCGTAGAGAACTGAAACTGCTCCCAAGTACTAGGTCCTCAGACCAAGCAACGAGCGGGGCACGGTTTCAGTTTGAAAGATCCAAAATGACATAGGTCAGCCAGTTTCTGCCGGATGACCAGAGAGCAGCCAACGTGTTTTTTCTCTTAAGAGAATATGTTCACTGGATGCTTTCTTACATGTATACTAACAATACCGTTCGTCTCTTGTTATGTTTGCCCTGGAGTCCGTTTCCCTTATCTCGGGCGACCTAATCTTCGAATCGTATCTGGACTTTTTTCTTTCTTTTTGTTCTTGGCCTTGCGGTCTCTTTCAGTCACCCAGGTCTACCTATACATGTATATCGTGACTTCCACAATTAAGTGCAGGTCAACAAGTAGTTTGCGTATTCCGGTTCAATACTTAGGTCTAGGTCCTACCCCCTGGATTCGTATTTAGATCAAAGAGGCGCATAATTTGAGAAGGCTGCGGTCGGTTGCGTTGCCTAGACTGACTATGCAACTTGCTGTGCTACAATATAACTGTATAGATGAGAGATCTATGCACAAATGTAGCACTCTCAACTTCATAGGTATTCTTAGGTGACTGATGGCTCAGGTCAATTCGTCATAAATTCTGGGTCTGCATGCTATGGCTCTTTGTTCTCAGCTTGTGGTCGCTGAGTTCAGGGAATGTTACCTCCTGGTTTACATTGTTATGGTACTGCTACTACGGCTTGGTGTCTTTTTTACAAGTATTTTCTGCATTGTTTATNTCTTTCGCGCCTCATGTTCGACTAACACTTTTCTGGTTTGTTTGGGCGGGGCAAGTGTGCAACTTAAATTAATAAATAAACAAATATGCTCTACTATCAATCGTGGATCACAATTCAATAGGATCGAAAATGAACTTCCTTGGAAAACCGAAGCAGAGAAGTTGAGACGACGGACTCCGATATCAAATGACGACCGCAGATATTATACTGAAATTGAAAGACAGTGGATACCACCAAACTCTTGACATAATAGTAACCCCACAAGAAGAAATTAGACTCCGTGAGGTAGAAGTAATACGGGAAGCACCGGTGAGATCCCGCAGGCGAGAAAATTAAGAAGAACTAATCCAGAGACGAGATTGCTAAAGATCAATAAGATGACCTAACCAGATCATTCTCTGACAAGGCCGCCAGAACCACTTCTCTTCTGCAATGTCAAATCTTGCTTTCTGTTTATCTGAATTCGCCGTCACCAAAGAGATCCGGCACCCTTTCTCTAGACTAGCCCAATTATTCCGTCATCCGGTGAAAATGTATTGGGTTGTAACATAAGTTCGTAGAGTTTTTTCACAAAG